CCCACTGCTCCCCTCCCCTGCCCCAGCCCCACGTGCCTGGCTTTGCCGCTCCGTCCCCTGGCCAGTGTTTCCATCTCCGCTCACCCCGAGTACGTGCAGACCGTTTTGTTTCACCCGCTCATTTCCTGGTTTGTTTGATTCTGAAACAGTTGTGCTCAAGCATTAAAATAGGGTGATTCAAATTATTTTTAAAGAGCTACATGACTGCTCAGGGACTTACATGGAAGAAATAATGGAATGAATAAATGGATGACTGGCGGATCTGGGTTTTAAATGCAAAGCAAGAACCAAGTTCCCCTCTCATAAATGTGGGATTTAGAAAGTCTTATTTGAAGGTTTATCTAAAGGGTGTGTGTTTGATTATGTCTGCAGGTTACAGATTGATCCCCAGTGTGAAGTTTTGCAAGAAAAAGCTATTATTTTAGGGTCTGGGAATAGCAAGAGGGGCTGGATCCACCAGAACCAGGAGGATTTCCAGCGTGGAGGGAGCCTGGCAGCACTTGCCCTTCATCCGAGTTTGAACGTGGGCTCTCGGCTGGAAAAGAAGCCCCGGAGAGCTGTCGGGGGATTATCTCTGCCGCTCCGCAGGAGTTCAGGGTTTTGCTGCTGGAACAGCGTGCGCCTCCGATTTGATACCAACTTAGCCGAGATAAGGATCGGGCTCGGTGCCTCCAGCCTCCGAAGGCAGCCTGATAAAACTAGCAAGAGTCGTTTTTGTAAAAACGTCCGTTGGTAGCTTAGCAAAGGCCAGCAGGTTAAAGAGAAGGAGCAGGACTCGAAGCCGCGTTTCTCTGTGGGTGTGAGCAGGTGCCGTCGCACTGAAGCCAACGGCAGTGCTCTTAGCTGGCACCTGAAGGGCCGACAAAACCCTTCCTTGGTGCTGCCATGAACAGACCTTTCATGGGTGCGAGATGAGTTCAGGTACAAACCTTGGGTTTTAATTTCCTGCCTGCCTCCCTCTGATCTGTACAGCAACCGGTGTTATTTCACTGTAGTTGTTTTAGAAATTAGCTTGTAGTACACTCCGGTCACTCCTTCCTACTGAACGACAACTTCTTTAAAATTTAATTTAAGGTTTTTAAATTGGCATCCTCATTGTAATGCATCTTCCTTCTGGTTTCCACTAAAAGCTCAGCATTGTGACTTGTGTAGAATTTTTAATGAGCAGACCTGTAATACAAATTTTGCCACTGCTAGTAGTTAGACTCACCGGCGAGCAACGCGGGGAGCAGGAGCCTCTGTGCTCCTCAAAGGTGCAGAGTCGGGGGATGAAGCAAAGTTTTGTTTTCCCGGTGAGGCAGAGGGAGCGGCCGAGTTTGCTCTGCGTCGTTGCCGACGGCTCAGCGGCACCGTTCCGTCATCGCTGACCTTCCTCTCCACATCCTGGTGCAGCCGTTGCCGTTTGGGGCAATTTAAGGCACTTCAGACTGTTCTGTAGCGGTCAGCAAACCGTTCCAGCACCATCATTAGTGCCTCCGCGGCTGGCGGGGAGCGAAGGTGAATGCCTTGGGGCAATTCTGAGCAAGAGTTCCTGCAGCATCATTTTCTTTTCCAGTAGTTTGATGCCAAATATGAATTTCCATTTATTATTGTACTGAGTGGGATAATACATTTTTCAGGCTTTTGCTGATATCCTCCAAGAACCTAGAAAAGAGTACTTTTATCTGAACCTATAATTTATCGGTGTGATAACCAGGAATTAAAGACTGAGGATAACTAGCAACACCAAGCCTTTTTGATCTTTAAAAAATCTCCCACTTTTTAAGGTTACTTGCTCCGTTCTTTGCTGTGTCTAACAGACATAATTTGGGTCCCAGTTAACCTGCAGTTTAGGTCAAAAGGAACAACAGGAAAATTAAAAGAGTTTGACCAGCAAGAAATAATTATGAGCTTCTCACAGAGCGGATGGAAGAGAGCGAGAGCTGCGGCTGTGGGGTCAGACTGCAGAGGCTCTAAGGGACTTTGGGAACCAGGAACCTCACGCGTTCAAAGTAGCAGTGAGCGGTGCTGACACTGGTCTTGGATGATGCTGGGGAGGACAGAGACCTCAGCCCAGGTTCCTGCAGACCCCCCAGGCCTGAATCAGCACAAAGCGGTGAAACCAAGTCAGTGCAGAAAGGGAAACCAAGTACCATGGGAAAGGCTGGGAAATACCCTGGTGCCAGGCAATGCCAGCAGCAAGCACTGCCAGGCGATGCCAGCAGCGAGCACCGCCGGCTCCTGCGGCCACGGCAAGGAGAGGAGCTGCAGGGCAGGCACCCTGACATGGCACGCCGTCACTCTGCCGACCGCGGTGCTCCGTGTGTCACAGTGCCTGCAACCTGCCAAGCGAGAACGGCAGTTACTGTCCCTGTCTAACTTGAAATTTTATAAATGATCTCTTCAATAAATTTTACTTTTCATGTTTTCTCCGTACGGTTAGGAAATAGGCAGTTTACAGACAGTTACATTTTCTAAATGACTGCATTTGCTTCTTAGCCTTTAAGTGAGATGCCTGGAAAAATGTGTTTCTGTATCCTCCAAGGGAAATAATGGGAAGTCTCTCCCTCCCGGTTCAAGACCACTCTCAAAGAAATACCCAGGTTTTAGCACTGGATTTATCTCAACAATGCACAGTCGTTTAAAAGCTTCCTGAGATGTCTGTACTTACAAGGAACGTTTCGAAAGCACCTTCGGAGCGCACACAGTGAGTACGTCTCGCTTGGTGGATGGCTTGAAGAAAACCTACTTGGTTCGATCATCGGGTCAAGCCAAATAAATTTCTACCTTCTTCATAGAAAATTACTAGTGAATGTCGAGGCTGAAGCGATTTCAGCTTCCTTGACATGGAAGATTTAGTTACATCAAACAATAATGAACAGCTGAAAGATGTAATTTTGGTTAGAAAAAGCGTGCAGCAACTACACATGCAGAGACAAGATAATTCTTGCGATTCACTGCACCCAAATATTTAAATGCTTAGGGCGTTAAATATTAGTAAGACTTATTTTCAGAGGCAGCTGATGGCTCTGAAGCTTAGTCCCCGCTCAGTCTGTCAGATCCTTGAGTTTCAGAGGAAAAACTGTGCAGGAAATGTTGTTCTTTGGTCGTGCTTTCCATTGCATTGCAGATCAGTAACGGCAGCAAATGGAGCTCTGGCACGGGGAAGGTCGCTGCGGGGCGTGCGGAAATGAAAGGACTATTTTGTGTCTCGTTTAGAGACTTCCTTTTATTTATTGGTGTGTGTTACCCGGTGGCTGGGGTAATGGGCCTCGGAAGAAAGTGCTGGTTAAGTAAAATAGCTGTGGTTTGGGGGGGAATACCGAAAGCAGAAGTTCTGAGAAGCAGCGGCCACGTTCTCAGGCATCCGAAATGTATCTGCTGCTAAAAGCAAAGCAATTTTTTCTAATTCCGAAATCCCAGTTTGCGAGGCTGCTAAATCATCCTCGGGCTTAGCACAATAGTCTCTTGGCAACTGCAGATGCTTGTCTTGAAAGATTCATTTTTACAACAGATTGAATTCTCAGAAAAAGAGGCCAAACATAAAGATGTTAGAAATCAAAGCGAAAATCCAAAAGGGTTTTGAGGCTTGATTTGGTTAAGCATCCAAATGTTTGGATATTGATTTGAAACTTATTCAAGCTGCTTAAATCTAGAAAACTGGTAATAGGCTCTATCCTCCCTGCTCTGTGATGGAAAGTCTTGGCACATACAGTTCCAAATTGCATTGACCTTTTTTGCTGCCAAATTCTATTGCGTTTTCATTTCTAATTTACTGTCCAATCCAGCCCCAAGGTCTCTAGCTTTTACTGCCTTTCTAGGTTTCCATTTCCTATTCAACATGTGCATTTCCCCCTTGCTTAATAGTTTTCATCTTTTCCCAGTTAGGTCTCATCTGATTACTCAGAAATTTAGGGACTCATATATGAGATCAGACTGGCAATCCATCCGTTTTGTTATTCTTTCTTCTGTAATTTACCAGGTTCAGATGCTTCAGAAGGCATAGAAAATGGATCATTATGGAAAGCTTTATCCATAGGAAAAATCTATAGTGTGTTTCTGTGCTAACGTAGAAGGATTTATATCCTCTTCCATAATACCTGGCTGAAATAAGTGTTTCCTCTCAGCACCCTTATACAATATGTTTTTCTGAATTCTACTAAATGTTCACTAAATATCCATTGACAATGGGTTCCACAGGTTTATTCTGGAGGTTTAGTGGTTGCTTCTGCCTACTTTTTGTATTTCCTCTGATGATACTGGTGTTATTTATCTTTTTCTGGTTTGCTAGTTTTCCAAAGTAGTGCCACTTGTGATTGTCATTAATATGCCAAACGTCACTTCTTTTTGAGCAGCAAGGAAGATGCTGTATAAAATGAATTACAATACACATTCTCCCTCTAATTTTTAAAGTATATTTGTATAAAGCATATTTTAAAGTGTATTGTAGGGACTTTTCTCTGAAAGCTGTGGTTGGAATTACTGACCTCTTTCTTTCGAGCAGCATTTCTGCATTGCCATCCTTTGGTAAGTAGCTGCCTGGCAAAGGGAAAATTATCCACACAAAAACCTTCTCTGCATGTTTCCCTTTTACTTTTTCCATTTCCTCTGAATATTCCTGATGCCATTTCTTTAATTCACCCTTCCTGACGGTTGCACCGTTTTTCTGAAAACGACAGACCGAAAATACCACATTGCAGGAGGAGGAGGAGGACGCAGAGCTCGAGTGGCTCCATCCCGGGGTGGGCACGCCGGCGGGTGGGGGTCCCTGCGCCGCTGGCCCCTGCGCCCGGCACAGGCGGCTGGTCCTGGCGACCGTGCGGGAGGAGGCAGCGGCCCGGATGAGGCACGTGAGCCCCACGCGGGGCCGGCGGCGCTGGTGGCTTGGAGTAGGCGGCGTGGCCGAGTCCGACCCCACGTCCGCAGTCGCCCGGCGCTTCCTCCGTTTCCTCGGTTCACCTCGTTACTTCGGCACTCGGGGCTCGCCGCCGCGCCGCACTGGTGGGGCCTTTGCGAACCTTCTTGGCAGCACTTCCCGTCTTTCGCTCAGCCCTCTCCGTGCCGGGCGCGTTTGGTCCGTGCCTGGGGTTTATCGGTGTAATTAGTGTGATCTCTGCGGTGTCATCCCTGCTCGCCAAAACAGTTCCTGACGATGTTCTGCTGATCCCGGTGATCGCTGAATGGGAGTGAAGCTACGCGGCGGCATATGGCAGTGTTTCTTATCTGGGATGGCTCAGTTTAGCATTTTAGGGTTGTTTTTAGTCCTTTTTCCTTTAATCAGAGTTGTCTGTTTGCTTAGAGATCGGGCTGGCTTTGTGTGTTTCCTCATTGCTAAGACGACACTTTCCCAAGTTCTGCAAAACCCTGGTGTGTTCCGGCGGGCTCTGCAGGAGCGAGCCTCACGCACGCAGGCAGGGGCTTTGCTGCGGTGAAATGCACACCAGTGGGGTGGTGCACAGGGGCTGTTTTTGAAGTATTAACATTTGTTGTTTATTTCTAAATGTTTGCAGGGAGAACAGTGTTTTTTAAAAAAGTACATGGCCAGGTTAATGCTGGACTGTTCCCAGTAACTCCAGTGGTACACTTTCAGGCCCCCAGTGCTTGTACCAGCAGTAGTTTTATGTCAGTGATATTTCTTTTCCTACAAACTGCCAGTGAGCTGAGAGTAGCGGTGACAATCCTGCCTTCCAAGGATGCGCTGCGGCGTTTTGGATCCTGGTGCCTGGTATTTACAGAAGGTTTTTATAGTACAGACTCAGCAGTTTGCACAGTTTGGTGAATCCGTTTGGAGTAATTAGTGTAACACCAGCCTGGAGTTGTGAGTCTGTTTAAGCCATTCTCCTTCAAGTACATCAAACGCTAAAACACCTACAGTACAAACATTGATTTTGTTTGGGTTGTTCCATGGGTTCTTCCAGCTCTACCGACACAACGGTGAGTAACTCAGCGGTTGGTTGACACAGGTCCCAGTCATTCCTTGGGCTCCGGGGCCAAGGGCCCAGCCACATCCCGCAGCAGGTCCGAGACGGACGCCTCTGCCTCTGCGTCGCTGGCTTCCCTGCCCTGCTGATGCAAAGAGATGACAGCGATTCTCCACCGAGCCCCCGCAGCCAACAGTGCAATATACTGTGCATCTCCTCCTGTAAAGGAGATCCGTGTTGTGCTGTGGCCATATGTCATGCTCTAACTGCAGACCAGTGGCTTTGCCTTCCCCTTATCCTGGTTCTGGGATAGTTGTTTATGTTAGTGACAAAAGAACCTGTCAAAAATCAGCTCCCATTTAATTTATTTTTCACTTGCAAAACAGAATCAGTCTGCATATTTTTAATATAATTTTTTCCCCAGGGATGGGCCAATTTTATTCTACCTCTCTTCCCCGGGCTGTGTAGAAAGCCCTACAAAGCTATCTGGAGACATTGTGTGGCTGAAATTGCCTCAAGAGAATTTTCTTTCATGCTTTATCCCCAAACCCTTATTCGGCTGTTCAACACTCTTCCACCAATTATTAAAAGAAGCTGGTGCTTGTGTGGTATCCTGTGAGTGTGACTTGATGAACAGACCTACTGGCAAATTTGCTAGGGTAAAGCAGATTGCTGCCCTGGAGAAGATCCAGACATCGTGGAAGTGGCATTTTGTTTTGTTTTCCAAAGAAAAATTATAATTGCCTCGAAATAAATTATCCCTGTGATACTGGCCTTCCCTTTTTGCAGTTTGCTTGTTTGAAATCCGAGTCAGATAGCATGAAGAGATTTTTTTTTTTTGTAACCCCTGCTCTATGTTCCCTATTAAAATTTCTTTTTTTTTTCCCTCCAGAATAATTTGCCCTTTTTCACCTAAAATAGTGATAAGAAGAAAGATGAACCTGTCCTGCCCCTACGTGTGTTTTCAGAGGAGCAGTAGGGTGGCTCAGCTGGCAGCTCCCTCGTCCAGTCAGTGTTGGCACCTTGTACTGGCCAGGGGATTTGTACTGCTGAGTTGATATATTTTTCTGAATATCTCCAGAAATTGTGTTATTTGTGTTCATGATCATGAGTAACCTTAATTTTTACAGGTAAGGTAATTCAGGGGAGCTGAGCCACCTTTTTTATCTCAGACGTAGTCCACCTGAGTAGATGTGTTCCCTCCCCTTCCGTCAGTGCCAACGCCACTGGTTTTCTCCGTCGCAGTGATGTTTGAGTGATGCCCAACATAACCGGGTAGCGCTTCGCTTCAGACCGTTAAACTGTGGCCACTTCTTCCCTGGCGCGTGCCATGGAGTTACACCAGTGCTCTTTGTCCGTGTGTTAGTTTTGAATCATACAAATCCCAAGTTCTTCTAAAATCATCGTCGTCTTGTTGTTTTCTCCTCACCAGTAGAACTGGCTGGAAATTGGTGGAAAAGTGGCAGCTGAGGCTGCAGCCCGTGTCCCTGCCAGGGGCTGCGAGCGCGGGGCCGTGGGCAGTGCGGGCACGGCGGGGCGGGCGCAGGCGGGAGGTGGAGGAGCGCAGATTTGTGCCGGTACTGGAGGACCGATCAGTACGATGCTGGTGTGTCCGGGCCTGTTAGCACGTCACTGATCCCAGACACAATAACAGAATAGCTGATATGAGACTTGATTAATGAATAATTAATTAGAATGTATTCTAATTAGTGTCAATCAACTTGCGGGTATGGAGAATAGGAGCAGTAGATAAGGCTGACTCTTTCTTTTAATGAGATGACAACGCACAGATGAGGAGTGTATGGATGCTCCAGCTGTTTGCCTTGGCACCGTGGGACAGCCGGGGGGGGGCCGGGGGCCACAGG